TTTTAATTGGACATTTAAGGTGACATCTAAAAGTTGAAGTAAATCTCCCTCTCTCTCTGCCCCTCCCCCATTCATGCTCTGTCTCTCTCTGTCCCAAAAATAAATAAATGTTGAAAAAAAATAAAAGTTGAAGTAAATGAGTGACAACATACAAAATTACTTCTTGGATTAAAAAGAGCTAAAACATGTCAAACATATAGTACACACAATTCTTCTATTATATAGCTATAAAGCTGGCAGTTTTGTTTTTTTAATGGTTTTATTTATTTTTGAGAGAGAGAGAGAGAGAGAGAGAGAGCAGGGGAGAGGCAGAGAGAGAGGGACACACAGAAACCAAAGCAGGCTCCAGGCTCCAAGCTATCAGCACAGAGCCTGATGCGGGGCTCGAACCCATGAACTGTTGAGATCATGACCTGAGCTGAAGTCGGATGCTTAACTGACTGAGCCACCCAGACAGCCCTGCAGCTGGCAGTTTTGAAACATATCATGCACAAGGTACTAAGCACTTTATGTGAACTAATACACTTAACCATTAATGATAAATATATTCCAATGATAACCTTTTGCCATTAAATCTAAATAGAAGTAGAAGTAATAAAGGCTGTAAAATACTAGAGATATAGAATCAAAGGTTTTTGTAAGTTCTAATAAATACTGGAGTCATATAAGGTTATTAGCATTAAAACCAATATTTCACTTCTCACTTAAGATTCCATATTCACTTGCTACGGAAAAACATTGCTCAATTATTCCACAGATACTTATGCCATCTTGAGAGAAGAAAAGAGTGGAGTGAAAAACTCATAATGAACCAAAGCAAATTTTACAAACTGTGTTCCTCCCTATACCCTAAAATACCTGGCTATTAATATTTGAAGAGTGTAAAAACACACAATAAAATATGCCTATCATACAACTTCTCCAGTTCTTTAGAAGAAACAAGAAGAGGATGAGATAGGTAAGAATACCACAAGGTGAGAACTGAGTGGGGCAGGAAAAAAAGGAAAGTGGACTAAAACATACAATAAAAATACCCAATCCTCTTTTTGAGGCAAAAAATTACAAAACCAAATAAATAGATATTAGACCAATCATCTTACCTGAAGAGTCCTTGTTTAAAAAGATAAGCACTAATATGACCCCCTTCTAGATACCGGATTTCACAACCGGGCCAGATTTCTTGTAGACTTCGAACTCCTGTTCGTGGAATGTAGGCATCTTCTTTGGCTTGAACCACTATAATGAGGCTTGGGTCAACTGGAACTAGGTATGGAATTTTAAAAGATGCAACATATATACTTTTAAAAAGTTCTAAGATTTTTATATAAATATTATCATATTAGAAAATAAAACATACTTGATAGTACAGTAAGTCAAGTTGGTCAAATTACAACTTTTTGATTAAGTTAAAAATCAACTATAATATTACATAATATCATAATATTCACCTCTAATACAATGAGATGAACATTCTAAATAAGGTATGAAATCCAATATATTTTTAGTTAACTATTAAGATGGATTTTTTTTAAGTTTACTCATTTATTTTTTAGGAGAGAGTGAGTGCACACGAGTGCACACTAGCAGGGCAGGGACTCAGAGAGAGAGAGAGAGGGAGAGAGAGAATCCCAAGCAGGCCCCATGCTGTCAGCGCAGAGCCTGACGTAGGGCTTGCACAAACTGTGAGATCATGACTTGAGCCGAAATCAAGAGCTGGATGCTTAACCAACTGAGCCACCCAGGCACCCCTAATTAGATGGATTTAGATTTTCATGGATAAAATATGATATATTTAAATAATCAACTTATCCTGTAAAATACATTTTGGAGCCAACAATAAACATATTCTTGAAAATATGAAATTATTTTGTAAACATCCTTAAAATGTAAAGCATCCTTAAAAATATTTCACAAATATTTACACATCAGCAAACATTCTCCATTTCATATAAAATTGGTACCTGAGAAATTTGCCACATGAGTACATTCATCCATGACTCCTTTCATGAATATTAAAGATTCTTTCTGAAGATTGTTTCTTCTTTGTTCTTTACTGAGTAGGTGATATGACTGAGGGCCACAGCTTGTATAACTACTTTTATTGGGTGAAAGTGTTTGATTGAAGCACTCCATCTTAGAGGTATCTTGCAACAAGAGTCCTTCTGATGTGGCACTGATAGATGTTTTATTAGATTGATGGTAGTCACTAGGTTTTTGGGATACAACTTGGTCTGTCATATCTAAATTTAAAGTTCTAGACACCAGATTAAGGTTAGTTAGCTTGTCTGCACCAATAGGGAAGCGTTTCACAAACTCTTGTCCCATTTTGAAAGAATCTGTCTAAATATACAAAAGAAGACATCATTTAGTATAAAATACATTTTATTTAACAACCTTGTTAAAATAAAAAGAAAACACAAATGTCCATCAATGAATAAATAAACAAAATGTGCTATAGACATACAATGGATTATCATTTAGTCTTAAAAGGGAACAAAATTCTGATACATACGACAATGGATGAACTTTGAAGACATTACACTAAATGAATAAGCCAGAAACAAAGAACAAATACTGTATGATTTTAAGTTTTATGAGGTACCTAGAGTAGTCAAATTTATAGAGACAGAAAATAGAGTGGGGATTGCCAGGGGCTGGAAGGAGTGGGTAATGAAGAGTTACTGTTCAATGGGTACAGAGCTTCAGTTCAGTAAAATGAAAAAGTTCTGGAGATGGATGGTGGTGATGGACAGAGGTGATGGCTGCACAACAATGTGAATGCATTTATTAACACCATTGAGCTGTACACTTAAAAATGGTTGAAATAGTAAATTTTATGTTGCATATATTTGACAACTTAAAAAATAACAGAGAAAAAAGAGATTTCAGAATTTATCTGAGGACTAAGATAAGTGACTTATACTATATTGCTTAATATTTCCTATTAAACAATAAAGGGTATCATTTAGTCTGCATCACGTTTTTATTGCCAAAGTTTTGAAATTCATGATCTGCTTTAATCTTAGAACTTCCAAAAGCCTTATGAGTGTATCCTGGCAGTAATACATCAGCTACCTCAAATCCCTTTCTTAGGCTGAACTAAGAAGAATTAAAAATTATCAAGGAAAAAATATTACCTATTAAAATCTCAAAAGGATGTACTAAGTTTAAGGACTTGTAAGTACAAAGTAATTTAAGTAAAAATAAACGTTGTGAAATACTAAAGACAAAGTCAAAAGAAAAAATAATGACAGCCTGGGAAAATATATTTGCAACTTATATGACAAAGAGCTAACTGCTTTAATTTATTAAAAGCTAGAAATGAATATAAAGTCCCAAACCACAATAGAAAAAGTGAGCAAAGGATATGCACATAAAGGTCACAGAAAATGAAATATAAATTACCCTTAAACTTATAAACATGTTCAATTTCACTTAAAATTAAGTAAATTAAGTAAAAACAATACCAATTTTCATTATTAGGTTGACAAAAAAAAATGAAACCCGTAAGTTTGCTAACACACTGAATTTGTGAAATTATGGGAAAACAGATACACACGTTCCTGCTGGTAGTAAAAATTGAAACAACTAGAATTAGACAAAATCTAACCACATTACAAATGGAACAACATTTCTAGGAATTTACACTTGTGAAATTTATTCATGGCAGCAGTGTTTGTTACTAGTGAAAAATGAGAAACAACATTAATACCCATCAACAGGGAACTAGTTAATGAATCATGGTATGTCCATCCATATAGTCTCATGCAGCAGTAAAAAAGAAAAAGGAAACATTTGTGTATAGTCCATGAAAAAAGGTAAGAAAAAAGGTCATATTTCTATTGGTTTGAAAAATTCCTTGAAACTTTAATAAATAGTGGGTTATTTGTTGAGGGAGATAGGACCTAGACAAATTGGGAGTACGGGTAGGAACTGTTTCATTATATGCCTTTTTATACTTTTTGATGCTTGAACATATGACCTACAGGCTATTTAAAAAATTAAAGAATGAAAAATTGATTGAAGGCAGGAAAAAAATCCAACAACTTGGTTAACAGAAAAAATCACTAGAGTCATCTGGACCAAAGAACTGTACACCTAAAAACATTGAGAAATGTAAGATCAAGCACCCCAGAATTACTCAGAGGGGTACACCAACAACTTTAACTGCTTTTGATTAGAAAAACATAGTTTTTATAACAAAAAAGGAAGCCATCTTGACATTCCCTGAATATGTATTGCTGTGAACAAGTTCTGAGACAAAAAGAGTTGTATACAACCACCAAGAGTCAGAGACATAAAAAAAGTGCTGGGTAAGACTACACTGCTGTTTCAGACAACCAAAATTTTTGACATCCCTTTAAAAAGATGCATATTGAGTTTTATCATAAGTTCTCAAATATAAGCATTTTTTTATTATATGTATGGGGGAACACAAGGAACTAACTAGCAGGTAGAGATATTTTGTTACAAAGTTCTTAGGCAAGTAAATACACTTTGAGGTTATGCAAGATAGATTTCCTTTACAAGAGTGAGATTTATAGTGATGTAATCATAAATAAAAAGTCCTAATTGATAGTATAGATGTTTTTTCTTTCTGAGATTTCTTGAGATCCTTGGTAACTTCCAAACTGAATGTACAAAATTTAAAAATTCATAAAAAGAAAAAAACCATGAAAGGAATTGGTCACCTTAGGAGACTAAGAGGGAACCAATTCATTATCTTGAAAACTAGTAAATTAAGGGAAAGATATCAAGCATTTATCCTGCCTTTTATATATGAACTGAGCCAAATAATAGGTAACCAATAAGTGCCTTTTTATACAAGTGTTCAAATTAATAAATAAAAAAGAAATGACAGATTTAGAATATCAGCATTTTGCAGTCCTCCACTAATAGACATAGGCATTAAACATCAATGGAGGCTTACACCACAAAATAGACAACCGGACATTATGCGCTTCCGACACTCCTACCAAAGAAATAAAAACTGAGTTTAATCAAGCCTCTAGACCCAGCTGCCAACTTTCAGGCAATATAGAGCATGAGTGAACATGCTAAACTATACCATGAGAATGCAATAAAAAATATCTAGTTGGTGAGAAACTCTAAAGGTAAATAGTCTAAATTCTTCAACAGATAAATTATAAGGAAAAGGAAAGGAATGGAAGGGAACTTACAGATTAAAAGACACAGAAAAGCACATCAAAAAAAAGAATTGTAGTGTATAAGGATACATATTTGGACAATAAAATTATTTTAAAAACAGAAGGAAGTAATTACTATAAAAATAAGGGTAATGATTAGCAGTGCGGGGAGAAGAGCTTTTTAATTAGGACACATGGGAGTGGTTTCTGTGTTGGGTGGTCAATTTCTATTCTTGACCTATTAGAAACAGGTTTTCTGTTTAATAAATGTTGTAAGCCATACATTTGCTTTGCACGATTTTTTATATCTATATTTTCTTTTATTTATTTTTAAAATGTTTATTTATTTTCAAGAGAGAGAGAGAGTGAGTGCAAGCAGGGGAGGGGCAGAGAGAGAGATGGAGAGAGAGAATCCCAAGCAGGCTCCATGCTGTTAGCATGGAGCCTGATGTGGGGCTTGATGTCACAACTGTGAGATCATGACCTGAGCTGAAATCAAGAGTCAGAGGCTTAACTGAGCCACCCAGGTGCCCCTATTTATATTTTATTTTAAAATGAAGAATCTTAAAAAGTAAAAAACAGTACTGCCTTTTAACAAATTTGCGATTCTTTTTAAAAATTGAAAACGTGAAACACAATCAACTTTTTCCCCCCTCCAATGTTATGCAGAACTTAAAAATACTTACTCCACAATATTCAAGCATGTGAATAATTTCTTCTTCATAAACTGTCTGTGTATAATACTGCTTTTCCAGCTCCCTCCAATTAATCGACTTACTTAGCACACCCTGAAATAACAAACTAAATTAAGATCAAACCACACTATCAAGCATTTTGTCCAATAATTTTATTATTAATGTGCAGAAAAGAGTAAACATAGCAGGCTTGAGATTTCCTATCTTTAGAAAGCTCTACTTGCAATGTTGGGCCTTGATTAGAGTCTGGGAACTGGACTAATAAACAGTTCTTTGCCCCAATATATATCTTTCTAAATGATAAAGTGATAAATGATAAAGTCATTGTGACAAACAGTGTAGTTTCTGCTGAACACATACTTTCCCTCTGGAGTTTTGGTACATGAGGCAGAGACTACCTAAATGATTGACCCCTGATAAAAACCCTGGACTCCCAGGCTCAATCAACCTTCACTGATGGACATTTTGTACATAGTGTCATAACGCATTGCTAGAGGAATTAAACACAGCCTGTGAGCTTCCAGTGGAAGGTTGTGCTTGATTTCCTCCGGACTTTGCCTCATGTGCCTTTTCCCTTTGCTAATTCTGTATTGTATCCTTTTGATGTAATAAGTCTTAGTTGTGAGTAATACTAGGTGGTACGTCCTGTGATTTCTTCTAGAGAACCACCAAACCTGGAGGGGGTTTTAGGAACCCCCCAAAACAATTACCTTTCATTAAATATAGCTATTTAAGTATTAATTGCAATTAAATTACCGTAGTGAAGACTCCAGATGCTGTGGACCAAGACAGGCATGGGATCAATGGCATGGGCTTAGGCCAGTTGGATACTGCTAAGGAAGCCATCTGAAATATGTTTAACAGTCAGAGAGCTTCTGTTTAAATTTCTATTCATTAAAATGAAAACTGTTTACTATGAAGAAAGTAGTCTGGTAAGACTTCACTTACTATGAAGAAAGTAGTAATTGGTAAGATAAGACATGAACACAAAATCTCTAAATACTTGGAGTGCCTGGCTGGCTCAGTTGGTAGAGCATGCGACTCTTGATCTCAGGGTTGTAAGTTTGAGCCCCACATTGGGTAAAGAGATTACTTAAAAATAAAATCTTAAAAAATCTCTAAATACTCATGAGAATGTCTAGCAACCTTGTGAAACCCCAAATCATAAATTCAACAACAACATATAACTTCTCCCTTAGAAAGTAATAAAGTACATTGGAAAATTTTAAGTAATCTCAAGATCTTCCACAGAGAACTACTTTCTACTGGGTAAATATAGAGCAAACATGCTGAAATGTAGACACTAGGCAGGAGGCTAATCACACTCCGTACTTAAGTGACCTGCTCAGTGACAACAAAATCACAACTATAAAATCTCAGACCTTTGAGGCTGACTGTAAAAAAGGCTGGTGAACTACAAAGCAAATTATATAACTTATATAATGTAATGTGTGTGTTTAGAGAAAGGAAAAGTTATTTTTTGGCTAGGGGAATCAGAGAAGGCTTCATGAAATGGCTGTCCTTTAGGGAAAATGAAAGATGGGGTCTTGTCTTCTATATAAAGAAGACAACATGATCAAAGGCAAGATGGTGAAAAAGTGCAAAGTCTGCTACGAAAACAGCCAATATAACTTACTTTGGCTGGTCAATAGGGCATATATGGTGAATGGGGTGAGGGAGATAGGTAGGCTGGAAAGACTGAATAGCAACAGATGAGAGGTCCCTTTTGCTCTGTATATAATGGGAAATTAATAAAGAGGCCTGAACAAAAGAGTGGCAATGTCAAAGAAGTGATTCAAGGAAGCTAAAATGATAGCACTTCCTAAGATTGATTAGAAAGAGTAAGATCTGAGGTAGGAAACCAACCAGTATAGGCAGTAGTTCAGCTGAAAGTTCTAAGATCCTAATCTGGGTCATAACAATGCAAACATTACTAGGTAGGGAAAAGAAATAATTTTCCACCCTTCAATTTCACTAATAATATTTTTGAATTTTAGCCAGTTTTTAAACTTAATTTTATAATTCAAATTACTTACAGAAAACTATATATATTTTGTTGTTGTTTCTTTTAAAATGTATGGAGTGACTTAATATGTTTAGGAAACAATTAGAGCATATCAATAGCCCTTACTGAACCTACTGCTTCATGGAGAAAAACTGCTAAACAAGTAATCACAATGCAGTGAAATAAGTACTAATAAGAGATGAAGTACAGTCTAGGGTTTAGGCTGGGAGTGGAGGAACTTCTCATAGGAAGTAAGCTCTAGACTGGAACCAGAAGGGCAAACTGTTATTTGGTTAGGTGAAAAGGCATGAGAAGGCACTAGGAGAATGCTAGCACCCAGCATATCTAAAGCCCACTGGAATAGCAAGCCTTTGGCAGGTTTTAAGCAGGAGAGAGCAGAGATGAGATTTAGGAAAATCACTCTAGTTATGGTGTGGAGAAAAACTAAGACGTTTAATGAAAGAAAAGACTAGAGAAAGAGAAACAATTAGGAGGCTGTTTCAGTATATTCTAGAAGACAAAGGTATAACAGGTACCTCTTTATCACTGGGGACAGCAATAAGAGATAAATGAAAAGTATTTTCTACATTTGCTATCTTCAGCAATTTAACAGCAAAGTAAGTCACTTATATTTGAGATGTGAAAAGTTAAATTTTATAAAAATTAACTTTTAATACAATATTAAATTAAATTCAATACCTGAGCTATGACTATGAAGTACAATCACTGTCTATATAAATCATACAAAAAAAAATCATTATAATGGGAAAAGTTTAAAACCTGTTCCTGCTTTTGCCAAGACTAAAATTAATTCTACATCTTAAGTACATTTTTAAAATAACTACATTCTCTAGATCTTACAAACATAATCACAATTATGTATCAGTTGAAATTAAAAGGCTTACATGTCCTCCCATGGATATTCCGGTCATTCCTAGAGGTCCATAACCCTCTCTCTCTAGCCAGTGCAAGAGAGCTGCAGATTCTAAAACAAGAGCTCCTCCCATCACAAAAAGGTCAGACACGTTTTTTAGGCTGGACCTTCTAGCCTCACAAGACAAAAGAGAAAATTATTTATGTATTTACATTTTAATATATGCAAAATTACAACAGGCAGCCAGACTTCATGTTTTTCTTTTAAAGGATCAGATAGCTAATGGAACAAACTGATGGAATTAAGAGTGCTAACATTATTCTACATATTAATCAGCTAATACTTATTTTTTTAAAAGTTATATCTGCTTTTTATTGAAATTCAATTAACTACTTTGAAGCCCAGGAAATATATTTATTTGATAGCACTTAAACAAACTGTTAAAAAAAATTCGTGGTTGTCCCATATGAATTTACACAGGGGTAAATTATTACAATAGAACTTAAAGCATAAAAATTTTAAAAGCAATGTAAAATAATTTAACCTAATACGAGGCTCATGTATTACCAAAATCTTAAATATGTTGCTTATTTTCAAAAAATACACAATTTATGAATATAATCAACTGGAAAATTTTTTATTTTTTAAATAGTAGTGTAATTAACATACAATGTTATATCAGTTTCGGCTGTATAACATGGTGATTTGACAGTTTTATACATTACTCAATGCTCACCATGACAATTGCAATCACCATATGTCACTATATAAATGTTATTAAAATATTGACTATATTCCCTATGCTTTACTTTTAATAATTAAAAGTTGGTTGAAAAAGTAATTTTTCATAAAAATACATGTTTTTTTATTAACTTAAATAGGGGTGTCTGGAGGGCTAAGTCAGTTGTGTGTCTCTCTTGATTTTGGCTCAGGTCATGATCCCAGGGTGGTAGGATCCACTCCAAGTATGGAGCCTACTTGGGATTCTCTCTCTCACCCCCTCCCCTGCTCTCTCTAAAATAAAAACAAAACCAATTCAACTAGAATTTTCTGTCTTTAGAAACTAATTTTACATGTAAGTACATTTCCTTATTAGAAGCATTTAAATCTTTTTAGATTCCAAACCATTCTTACATAGGCATACTTCATCTTATTGCACTTTGGATTGCACTGCATTTCTTACAAATTGAAGGTTTATGGGGTGCCTGGGTGCCTTAGTCAGTTAAGTGTCCGACTCCTGATTTCAGCTCAGGTCATGATCTCACAGTTTGTGAGACTGAGCCCTGTGTGAGCCCTGAGATTCTCTCTTTCCATCTATCTCTGCTCCCACCCCGCTTGTACACGCATGTGTACATAAATAAATGAACATTAAAAAAAGAACAAGTTGAAGGTTTATGGCAACCCTGTATCGATTAAGTCTATGGATGCTACTTTTCCAAAAGCATTTGCTAACTTCATGTCTCTGTCACAATTTAGTAATTTTCATACTATCGAGAAACCTTTTCATTGTATTTGTTATGGTGATCTGTGATGTTACTGTTGTAATTGTTCTGGGGCACCATGGAACTGCACGCATATAAAGATGGCAAATTTAATGGATAAATGTTATGTGTGTTCTGACAGCTCCACTGACCAGCTGTTCTCCACCTCTCTCCCTCTCTCCCACCTTCCTGTTCCCTAAGATATAAAAATCTTGAAAGTAGGCCAGTTGATAACCCTACAATGGCCTCTGTGTTCAAGTAAAAAGAGGAGTCACACATTTCTCACTTTAAGTCAAAAGCTAAAAATGATCAAGCTTAGTGAGGAAGGGATGTCAAAAGCGGAGATAGGCCAAAAGCTAGGCCTCTTGCAGCAAACAGTTAGCCAAGTTGTGAATGCAAAGTAAAAGTTCTTGAAGGAAATTAAAAGTGCTACTCCAGCGACCACACAAAATAGAAAGCAAAACGGTTTTCAATTTTGGAGAAGACTGGTCTGGATAGAAATCAAACCAGCCACAACATTGCCTTAAGCCAAAGCCTATTACAGAGAAAAGCCCTACCTCTCTTCAATTCTATGAAGGCTGAAAGAGGTGAAGAAGATGCAGAAGAACAGTTTGAAGCTAGAAGTTAGTTCATGTGGTTTAAGGAAGGAGGCCATCTCTATAACATAAAACTGCAAGAAGGTAAAGCAGCAACTACTGATATGGAAGCTGCAGTAAGTTATCCAGAAGATCTAGTGAAGATAACTAACAAAGGCAGCTACAAATAAACAACAGATTTTCAATGTTGAAAAACAGCATTCTGTTGGAAGAAGATGCCATCTAGGACTTTCATAGCTAGAGAAGAGATGACAATGGCTAGCTTCAAAGGAGGGGTTGACTCTCTTGTTAGGGGCTAATGCAGCTGGTGAAATATCTCCAAGGTATGCCTATTTAGTGGTAAAAAAGAATACTATCTTATTATTGAAGTGTCCAAGTTAGAATCTGTTTTCAAATTTTAGTTCATATAAAGACATACATGATTGGCCACTGGATGAAACCTTGTCGAGGTGTATAAAATTCACTTTATCAATGGTTGTTTACTGTATGTCTATGTAGGGTAATTATGCACAAAGAACTAGCAGCTGTAGGAATGCCAAGTTGTGAAAAACACATTTCTGGCCCCCAAAGAGCTTATGTCCACTGTCCTACCACATCTCCTCAGAGCTCTAAGTCAGAATTTCTCTTTATGGAAACTATGCTATCCTCTGTCAAAATAGATCATAGATGTGCTTCCTCATAAAACAGCCCATGTATCCTTACATTTGTTTCTTATTCTCATTCCAATTTTCTATTGATGATCACGTAATTCCCCTGATTATGTATTTTGGCCTCGTACAGAAGTCTGAATTATCAAACTCACTTCAGTTTGCTCTTTTAATAGAAGTTACTAATGTAGGGTTCTGGGACAGTGGTTATTTACTTTTAACAGTGGACCGAGTCTCACACTTTTGATGAAAACAAGCATAAGATGGCTTTTAAAAAGAGAGATAAAAATAAATTTACTATTTAAATTGCAAACCATCTCTTACAATGAATTATTTGAGAAAAATAAATATACTGGTGTATTATTATATTTCTTGGGTTTATGATACATGATAGGATATTTTATAGACATGATTCTCACAACAATTCTGTGTGGAAGAAATTATAGAGTATTCCCACCTTATAAATGAGGTAACAGATACTTAGACCAAGGTAATACAATTATTAAATGACAAATTACAATTGCAACCTATGTCTCTATGACTCCAAAGTCAACATCTTTCTGTTAAACCCATGCTGCCTCTAACTATAACTCAATAAACTCTTTTGGGTTTTTAACCACCAATAGAACAGAGTAAAAATGACACACTTAGTTCTGAATACAGAGCTTGGTTCCAGAGTAAGAATTCTTGAACTACTTAGCTTGGACATTAATTTTTCACATTTCACAAAGTTTATTCTAAACTATCCTTCATAGGATACAGGTTTGCTTCCAACCCACTCCAATTTCATCTATATCTCTTCCATGTCACGACCACATAGAACATGTGACCTCTAAATCTACCTCTCCAGGACTTTCCAACTCCCTACTTAACTTCTCCACCTGCAGTTCTAACAGACATCACACATTTAACACATGCAAGTCAGAACTTTTGATTTCTTACCAACAATATCCAATTTATCAATGAGTCTTATCATTTCAACTTCTAATTACCCATGAGAGCTTCTTTCCATCTCTACTGCCACTTCCTTAAAGTCACTTTTTTTTTCCTCCTGCATTACTGCTATAGCTTCCTATTTGATTTTTCTGTTGCCACACTAGCCCGACTAAGCCAAAATAAGCTTTTAATAACACAAATCAGATCATTCCTCTCCTTAAAGTCCTCCAAAGGTTTCCCACTGCACTTATAGTAAAATTCAAAGCACATGGCTCTTCATAAATCTGACCCTTGCCTACATTTCTGACCTTGTCTTATACTACTCTCCCATGCTTATATTAGGTTTTTCATTCTTCCTTCTCTGAGGCTGATCTTCCTCTGGGTTTTCACCTTGGTGGCTCCTTCTCATTATATCATGTCCTCAGATCTAACACTGCTCCAACCCTGCGCCCACCTCTATTATTCTTTACTTGGTTGCCCTGCTTTATTTTCTTCATGGCATTGATAAATATCCAAAATTACCTTATTTATTTTTATCTATCTCTCATCCTAGAATATAAGCTCTATGACAGTAAGGACCTTATCTTTTTGTTGTTATATTCCCAATGTTTTGAATCAAATATTTACTGAATGAATCAAAACCAAACATGACATAGCTTATGGAAATGCTTCATAGTTCATCATTTCTAAAAACCAAGAAGAGATTATCTTCAGATTACCTATACTATACATTGCAAGAATAAAAAGGAGTGGTGTTAATTTCACGAAGTAAGTAAATGTACTTTAAGAAGGAAAATGTTTTAACATTTCTTCAGTTACAGTTTTATAAATAAAATATATCTTCCATCAGCCTATTAAAAACTTTATTTTAAGTTTATTTTGAGAGAGAGAGAGAGCAAGCATGAGTGGAGAAAGGACAGAGAGAAAGGGAGAGAGAATCCCAAGCAGGCTCTGCACCACCAGCATGGAGCCCAAGACAGGGCTCGAAACCACAAACCATGAGATCATGACCTAAGCTGAAATCAAAAGTAGGACACTTAACCAAATAAGCCACTCAGGTGCCCCTAAAATTAAATAAAAAATTTTTTTTTAATACTTATTTTTGAGAGAGAAGAGAGAGACAGAGTGTGAGCAGGGGAGGGGCAGAGAGAGAGGGAGACACAGAATCTGAAGCAGAATCCAGGCTCTGAGCTGTCAGTACAGAGCCCCATGTGGGGCTTGAACCCACAAACTGAGATCATGACCTGAGCTGAAGTCAGATGCTCAAATGATTGAGCCACCCAGGCACCCCTAAAATTTCTTATTTATCTCTTTATCAAACATTTTAAGTGCAAAAAGCTTAAGATAAAAATTTAACTCAACATGACTACTACAGTTTTATAACAGAACTTTTCCCCAAATAACATTTGCATGTTAAACTTAGAAACGATTAACCAAAGACTAACAAAAATTTTAATACCACTGAAAATTTGGCATAAAGATTACAAAAACAAAGGTGATGTATACTTACATTTGGTCCTTGGGTTTCCTGCAGCCATTTAAGAATGTGGGTCAAAGAGAAAGTTTTAAAATAATTAAATACAGTTTGTGTCTCAAAACATATTTACTTAAGCAAAATAGTTACATTTGAACACAATTTATTACTGAAATAACTATTTTCTAATTATCTCAAATAGGCTGTTGAGGAGTTCTCAGGATTTTCAATGTGATTTTTTTCTTTTTTAAAACAGCTTTGTTGATATTGCATACCACATAATTCACTCATTTTAAGTGCACAATTTAATGTGTTTAGTATATCCAAAGGGCTGTGCAATCTTCAACTTAATTTTAAAATTAAGGTTGTTTTTTTTTTTCATTTATATGTTGACTATATAAAATCTAGAAAATACAGAAAAGTATATTAGAAGAAAAACTACTTCATGTACAGACAACCATATTAATATTTTGGTGTATGTCCAGTATTTTTTCCTTACACACAGTTTTTAATGGATTTTCTGTTTTTAGGTTTTCTGCCTATCTATGTCACACCAGAGTTTTGTATCCTATTTTTGCATTATACTTTTCATATATTACTGTAAACTTTTTAACAATAACTAACCATTAAAATTTACTGAATGTCATTTACCAGGCACTGTTCTAGACAGTATTAACTAGTTAATACTCTGAATAATCTAAGAGATTATTCCCATTTACCAATGAAAAATCTGAGGTACTAAAAGGTTAAATAACAGGTCCAAGGTCATACAGGTAGTAAATGGTAGAGCAATATACATAACCAATTGCATAATATTCTAATATTATGAACCACAAATTACTCAACCATTTTTCTATTGTGAGACATTTAAGCTATTTCTAATGCTTTACTATTATAAATAAAACTATATAAATCTCTTTTCAATCAACTTTCTCTTTTCTTTGTATTTTATCCTTAGAATAAATTTCCAAGAATCAAAATCACTGTCAAGGGACATAAGATTTTTTAATGCTCCTGATACATACAGTAGAAATGCTTTCCCCAAGGATTAAACCAATTTTCACAGCCATTAGTAATAAGAGTGCCTATTTTTTTTTTTTTTTTTTTTTTTTTTTTTTTTTTACAATAGCCTCACAACTACTGGGTTTTATTTTTTAAATCTTTGGTAATGTTGCTTTAACTTTACATTTCTCTTATTACCAGCAACGTTGAACATTTCTTTTAAATTAAAAATTTTTTTTTACAGTTTATTTATTTTTGAGAGAGAAAGAGAGAGTACATGAATAGGGTAGGAACAAAAAGAGAGGGGAGAGAGAATCCCAAGCAGGCTCTGCAGGCTCTGTGCTGTCGGCATAGAGACCTATGTGGGGCTTGAACTCACGAATCGTGAGATCATGACCTGAGCCGAAACCAAGAGTCAGATGATTAACCAACTGAGCCACCCAGGTGCCCCGAACATTTCTTTATATCTGTGCATCAGTTTCATTTCTTCTTCTGGGAATAGTCTGACGTCATCTTGAAAGTCAAGTTAAGAACTGTTCTAAACCTCAACTGATGACTTAAATGTAAATGAATTTAAAACATGAAGGTTTCCTTAATAGCAAACATTTGACTTAATAATATTAAAATCCAGCATAAGTTTTATAAGAAAAAAGTACAATTTATCTTCATTACACAGTGGAAGCACAATCCTTAACATTGGTTGTTTAAAGGCATGAAATAATTTTTCACTTCTTTTCATTCTTGCTTCTTAAATATTTTCTGAACTGACACTAAATTTAACTGGTTTAGAAAAGCTGGTTACTATCTATCATTCTTTTTGAAGACTAAATCTATAAATAAAAGAAAAGATTTCTAGGTATCACAAAAGGATATAATAAGGGTTTTCTAGCAACAAAGAAGCCATTCGGGCTTCTTTAATCATAGGACGAGCCATTAGTGTTCGTCGTCTCCAGTAATGCTAAGGAAAGAAAAGATGACATACTTAAAGAATGTAATAACCACATCTGTGTTACAAAGAGTATGTTAACAAATTAGGGATTAAGGCATCATAGAAAGTCTTACATGATCTCCTGTTCCAGCAAGATGAATGCATACAGGTTTATATTTGCTGTTCCACTCCTTAGGAACAATAAGTTGGAACCTATTTAAAATAAAACACATAAGTAGAATTCTCTTTAGAAGATTTTCAATACAAACTTTTCAATTTGTAAATAATTAAATTATTTGGGAGAAGAGATCATTCAGAATTTTGACATTCAAATTATGATGAATAATTCATGTTTGCATAAAGGCAAATAAGATATTATAAATTTGCTATATTAGGATATTATATTAGGATATTAAAATATGCAGTACAATATAAACACAGAATTCATTGTAATCATTTTTACCTTATTCAGTATCACTTTATAAATGCATAATGAAATTTTCTTATTTTGTTGAGACATCAATATATATGAGTAAGTCTTAGAAACAACAACTCTCTACATAGCTCTGCTTTTTCTCCTTGCAGGAATAATGCTTGGTTGTACAAGCTGTTGATGTATCAGTAAAATACTTTATGTTATCTCTTTTGCTTTCCAACTTGGAGAAAAAGCAATCCATGCCAGATGCCAAAAAACAAAAAACAAAAAACAAAAAACAGTTTTCCCTATGTGTCATCTTCTTATTGTAGTAATTTGCTTTTCATTTAATGTTTTTTCCCTATAGGACTTTTACTTTAATTGTGGTAAAATACACGTAACATAAAATTTACCATTTTAACTATATTTAAGTTGTACAATTCAGCAGCATTAAGTACATTTACATTGTTGGGGTGACACCTGGGTGGCTCAGTTAAGCTTCCGACTCTTGGTTTTGGCTGAAGTCATGATCTCATGGTTCGTGGGCTTGAGTCCCACATCAGGCTCTGCACTGCCAGCATAAAGCCTGCTTGGGATTCTCTCTCTCATCCTCTTTCTCTGCCCCTCCCCCACTCACTCTCTCAAAATTAATAAACTCAAAAAAATTTTTTTAAAAAGCATATTTACAGTGTCATGCAACAATCACCACCATTCATCTTCAGAACTTTATCTTCCTAAACTGGTTTACCTGCCTTTTTAATTTCCTTAGCAATTGGTATTTTAGAATTATTATCTAGTATAATACTGCATTCTGTCAACTCAAGGTTTGACCTTAGGTAGCTGCATTCTCAGGCAACATAAACCTCAATTTTGAGCTTATTTTGCTTGTGCAGGGGACAATATCACTAGTTATCTATTATCAATAAATTGTTGAATACAGAATACACACAAGTACATTAGGAGGGTTCAGTGGTTCTTTCTGTTTTGTGCTCATGGGAACTAACTCTTAATTTTTAATCTCTTCATCAAAACTGCCAATGTTAACAACTCTGCTTCATTTTGCATTCTCAGAACTGTCCTGCTTCTTGATATTTTGATGATTTGGGGTAAATAAAAACATTTAAAAATGCTTTCTGTGAAATGTGGACATCTCTGCTATTATTTTTTTCCTTCTGTTTCATAGCATTCCATGTAGAGACTTCATTATTGAAGAATAGCTTTAAATTAATAAGAATATTTTATTACAGTAATAACTGACCACTCATCTAATAGAGGCTCACTAATTAGTCTGTCTGCTCATATTACAGTACCTTCTCACAAGAGTATTTTCCAGTGCCCGTGATGAATAGGTAGAGTTCATGTGAGCTCCTCAGCTACAGTTGATTGGGCCTGGGGTAGTACAAATTAGGGCAGTACAGATTTGTTCTTTTGGTAGTCTGTAATTAGGACAGACTCCAGATTCTGTTGAGCTTTCAACATGAAGGCTCTGTGGAGCTGTGGTAGCTATTTTTTGTCACTGCATGAGAAGCAGAGAAAGATAAACTACCCACAGAGAAATGGCATGGGTCATAAAGCAGGGATAAGAGACCAGGAAGCATACAGGAAAGGGAGGTAGGGAAAGTATCTATATAGATCTTAATGGCTTCCCATTTTCAGCTTCCAAAATCTCTTTTTAAATACTGAGATAATTGACATATATTATTAGTTTCAGGTATATAATTTAATGATTTGATATATGTATGTATTGTGAAATGATCATCACAATAGTTAGCATCCATTACCACACATAGCTACAAAAATCCTTTTTCTTGTGATAAGAACTTTTAAGATCTACTGTCTTAGCAATTTTCAAATATACAATACAGTATTAACTACAGTCACCATGCTGTACATTATATCCTCAAGACTTATTTTATAACAAAGTTTGTACCTTTTGACCGCTTTCACCCAATTCACCCAGCCCCCACTCCCAACTCTGGCAACTACCAGTCTGTTCTTTGTATCTCTGAGTTCCAAGTTGTTGTCATCGTTGTTTTAGATTCCACATATAAGTGAGAACATATGGTATCTGTCCTTGTCTGACTTATTTCACTTAGCATAATGTTCTCAAGGTCCATGTAGTTGCAAATGGGAGAATTTCCTTTTTTGTTGCTGTTGTTATTTAATTTACTTTGAAAAGAGAGGATGGAGGGGTAGAGAGAGGGAGAGGGAGAGAGAGAATCCCAAGAAGGCTCTGTGCTGTCAGTGCAGAGCCCAACATGGGGCTCAATCCCACCCACCACGAGATCATGACCTGAGCCAAAATCAAGAGTCAGACACTCAACCGTTCAACCAACTGAGCCATGCACGTGCCCCTGGAGAATTTCCTTCTTTCTTATGTCTGAATAATACTGCACTCCTTTTATATACCACTTCCTTATCCTTTCATCCACTGGTGGACATTTAGGTTGGATCCATGTCTTGGCTATTGTAAATAATGCTGCAATGAACACGGGGGTGCAGATATTTTCTCAAATCAATGTTCTTGTTTCCCTCAAATATATACCCAGAAGTGGAGTTGCTGGATCATATATGGTAGTTCTATTTTTAATTAAAAAAAATTTTTTTTTAATGTTTATTTTCTTGAGAGAGAGACAGAGTACAAGCGGGGGAGAAGCAGAGAGAGAGGGAGCCGAAGTAGGCTCCAGGCTCTGAGCTGTTAGCATAGAGCCCGATGTGGGGCTCAAACTCATGAACTGTGAGATCACAACCTGAGGCAAAGTAGGATGCTTAACTGACTGCGCCACCCAGGTGCCCCGCCCTGTGTATTTTAAAAGAATGTGTATTCAGATGCTGTTGGATATAATATTTTGTGAATATCTAGGTTAAATCCACTTGATCTAATGGGTAGTTTGAGTCCAATGTTTTCTTACTGATTTTCTGTCTGGATCATCTATCCATTGCTGCAAGTCAGGTATTAAAGCTCCCTACTGTTATTCTATTGCTGCCTTCAAGTTTGTTAATTTTTTTAAATATATATTTAGCTCCTATATTGGGTACATAAATATTTACAAATGTTATATCCTCTTGTTAGACTGATCCCTTTATCATTATATAATGACCTTCTTTACCCCTTATCCAGTATTTGTTCTTAATGTTTATTTTTGAGAAAGAGGGAGGGAGGGGCAGAGAGAGGGGGGAACAGAGAATCTGAAGCAGGCTCTGTGCTGACAGCAGACAGCTCGATTCAGGGCTCAAACTCATGAACCATTAGATCATGACCTGAACCAAAGTCAGATGCTTAACTGACTGAGCCACCCAGGTGCCCCTCCAATCTTTGTCTTTTTTGTATGATATAATATAGCTATCTTTATTTTCTTTTGACTTTCATTTGCATGGAATATCTTTTTCCATACCTTTACTTTCAGTCTATGTATGTCCTTCATCTGAAGTGAATCTTTTTTTCTTAAACAGTTTTCTTTTAAAGCTTATTTATTTAAGTAATCTTTACACTCAATGTGGGGCTCGAACTCACAAACCCGAGATCAAGAGTTGAATGATCTTCCAACTGAGCCAGCTAGGTGCCCTGGAAGTGAGTCTTTTACAGGCAGAACATACTTGAGTCCTGTTTTTTCTTTTTTTTCAATCCATTCAGCCAGTCTAAGTCTTTTGATTAGAGAATTCAGTTGGTTTACATTTAAAGTGATTATTGACCGTTATAAATTTATTATTGCCATTTTGTTTATTGTTTTCTGACTGTTGTGTTATTCTTTTTATTATTTTATTATTCTTTTGTTCCTTTCTTCTTTTTGTCTCTTTGTGATTTGATGATTTTCTGTAGTGGAATGCTTAGATTTCTTTCTCTTTGTCTTTTGTTTATCTAATAGGTTTTATCTTTGTGGTTCCATTAGGCTTATATAAATTACCTTATTTATAACAGTCTCTTTTCTATAGTTTTATTCTGCTTCACCCCACGTTTACCGGGAGCAATGCTAAATAATTATTGCAATTAATGCTAACCAATTAAAAATAGTATGCCATTGATATTATAATTGTAAGTAAAAAATAATTTACTACTTTAAACTTTCTGAATAAAAATTCTTACCTTGCTATAACGGATTCAATTGGCATTATATCAGGCACATAGTGGGCCATGGGGGAAACAAAGTGTCCATCTAGGATCTTACAGTCTGACTGCTCTTCAATCTAAAAGAAAAGCAAGACCAAAATGTATACATACATATAGACTAAGGTCTATCATGCATGTTTTAATATAAAAAAGTTCCATTCAATTAAAAATTTTTTCACTGACTACCATGTATTCTTTTGCCCCAGTCAGTTTTCTGAAGGCATGGCTCCTCACACACATTTCTTTTCCTTTTACATCCTTTACTACAGGCTAGTTGGAAAAGTAAACTATAAATAAACTGCATTTGTACAAAAGCATGAAATAAGTCAATAAAATACTAGTTGGAAGAATTCAAAAATATCAAAGTAAACATAAGAACAATTTACAAAGAAACTGTAAAAATAATTTACCACAATTAAATAAGGGTTGACTTGATGTTTAAGCAATCCATTGAGACAATGAGTCATGTAAACATTAAATAAGGAGAAATGTATATTTATATTTATAGCAAAGGCATTTGCTAATGTCTGACACCTAAACTTTCCCTTCATCAGTTATTTTTTATAAATAAAAAATCTTTATCAGGTCAGTAGTCAAAATTAAATTAGCAGTAAAGCACCACATATTTTCATTAAAATTGTAAGCAAAAAATTTTATCTGTGGATACCATATATAACCATCTTATTTTAAAACAAAAATTCTAGCCAGTAATGTCTTATTAAATAATCCACATTTTGTTTTGCATGTGACTTAAAATGCTACTTTATCATGAAGTAAGTTTTAATAAGTTATAACATTATTTTCAATCCTTTATTGGGTTTTATAAGTCTATCTTTTTTCCCCCCACTCGTTTAAAAGGTTTTTTTTTGGTTTTTGGCTTCCAAGTTTTTATTTAAATTCTAGCTAGTTAACATACAGTGCAATATTAGTTTCAGATGTAGAATTTAGTGGTTCATCACTTAACATCAAATACCCAGTGCACATCACAGCAAGTGCCCTCCTTAATCCCCATCACCTGTTTAACCCATTCCTCCATCTGCCTCCCCTCTGGTAGCCATCAATTTGTTTTCTATAGTTAAGAGTCTGTTTCTTGGTTTGCCTCCCTCTCTCTCTTTTTTCCCCTTTGGTTCATTTGTTTCTTAAATTCCACATATGAGTGAAATCACACAGTATTTTTTTCACTGAGCTTAATACTAACTCCATCCACGTCATTGCGAATGGCAAGATTTCATTCTTTTTTTATGGTTGAGTAATATTCCATTGTGTGTGTGTGTGTGTGTGTGTGTGTGTGTGTGTGTGTACACTACATCATCTTCATCCATTCATCAGGTGATGGCCACTTGGGCTGTCTCCATAATCTGGCTATTGTAGATAATGCTTATTAGCCTACCTTTCATTTATACTAATATCATGCTGTTTGATCATGCTGCAGCTTTATAATATCTATTGACAAATGACTGAAGTAGGTTTTCCTTATCACTCTTCTTTTTTAGGTGTTCCTGATCTGATTGTACTTTCATGATTCTTCCCAAAATAATTTTAAGATCATTTTATAGACTTCAGTTCTAAATTGAGTATTTTAATTAGGATTGCACTGCATTTTTTGAAAATGGTAAGGAGACCTGATGTGTACAATATGAATTTATATGATTTAGAATAATAAATTATTTGATAAAGGAGGCAGCACAGATTAATGTGAAAGGGAGTAATAATCCCACAAATAGTGTTGGGACAAATGGCAACTTGGTAAGAAAAAAAAGCAATTTAGAACCATAAGTAATATAGACTTAAAAATTAAACCAGCTATAACTCAACAATAAAAAGATGACTAACCCGGTTAAAAATAGGCAATGATTTCATAGATGTCTCCAAAGAAGACATACAAATGGCCACTAAGCACATGAAAAGATGCTCAACATCACAGTTATAAGGGAAAGGCATATTGAAAACCACCCACTAGGATGGCTATTTAATACAAATAGTGTGAATGTGGACAAACTGGAACTATTATACACTACTGGTGGGAAAAGTAAAATGGTGCACTTTGGAAAACAGTTCTTAGTTCGTCAAAAAGTTAAGCACAGAATTACCATATGACCCAGAAATTCCACTACTAGATTAATATCAAAAAAATTCAAAACATATATACACAAAATCACTTGAACATGAATGTTCACAGCCTTATTGATAATAGTCAAAGAGCAGAAACAATCCATATGTTCATTAGCTGATAAATGGATAAACAAAATGTCACATATCTATACAATGGAATATTATTTAGCAATAAAAAAGAAGGTAATGTTACATAACATGGATGAACCAAGAAATTTTTGCTAAGTGAAATAAGCCAGACACAAAGACCTCATATTATATGATTCCATTTATATGAAAAGTCTAGAATAGGTCCATTGAGATAGCAGATTAGTGGCTGCTAACAGGTGGGAGGCTGGGGAAGTAGGAAGTAACAGCTAATGGGTACATAGTTTCTTTTTGAGGAGATAAAAATGTTCTGGAATTAGGTAATGATAGTGGTGATGTTTGCACATCTTAGGAAGAATAATAAAAAACAACAACACTTAACTGCACACCTTAAAAAAGGTGAATTTCATGGCAGGTGAATTTTACCTCAATTTTTAAAAACCAAAAGAGACAGTAATGGGAACAATAGGGGAAGAGGAAGGGATGCATCCCCAAATCTTAACAGTAATTTTTCCTTGGGATACAAATAGAATTAAGCAGTGGAAAGTGACAGAAAGTTAGCTTTTTGATTTTTTACTTGGTATGCTTTTAATTTGTTTGTTTTAAGCCTGTGATTTTTAATAGGAAAAAAACCAGGTAAATAGTAACATTTAGCAAAATTTGAGGGAGAAATGTTCTAAATCCAGAAGCTATAGAAAGAATAGCTATATGGTATGGATGAGGGATTTCCAATGTATAAAATTTTGTTTTTAGTAGTGGAACTGTTTTGAAAAATGAAATCCTCTAAGGATATCCAATACATATAAGAGATGAAAATAGAGTTACTTTGATTGAAGGGCAATGAGAGATATGAAGGCTATGCATTTGTACCCCTTCCCCAACAATACTTCAATTATCCAATTATATAATCCTAGAACTTTTTTACAGAAAAACATGGTTGCTAAAAAACAACACTATTTCAAATATATTCTCTAATTTTCTCTAATGTTACTGCGTTTTCTTTCTACCATTCTTTCACCAATTAACTATTTCCCATAACATTTCCCTGATGTTATTTAATAGGCGTTTTGGTTAACAACTTCTCATGTGCTGATTCTCCAAGTAGAATACTTCCCTGTATTACTCATAATTCTTAAATATTTTAATCCTTCTGATCCTAAAGATACAAAATGAGGCTCAAAAAGATGAAGCCTTAAATATTTTCTTCTGTTTAAGCAAGTACTAAATATATGCTCTCATATACATGATTACAATTATTATAAGCATCCTATTAGGATACATATGGTATTTATTTTAATCATATTAAATGAAAAGTCTATACTGTACTCATGTTTTAGTGTTTATTATTATACTCCAATATTCAACTTATTCTTTTTTTAAGCTTTATTTTATTATTATTATTATTTAAGATTTTATTTTCAAGTAATGTCTATACCCAACATGGGCTTGAACTCACTCCATTGACTGAGCCAGCCAGACACCCCTCAACCTATTCTTGACACATATTTATGTTAAACCAGAATTTCTGTAATTGCATTTCTTTCATTTAAATACCTTATCAATGTGTACTGGGTAATCACTTGAAACCAGATTCTGACATCTTTCTCGATTTCCAATCATCTTTCTGAATTCGAAGAGTCTATTAGGATAAGGGGGGAAAAAGGGAAAAATTCAATATGCCCATTATACAGGGAGTGATGTATAATGCTGAAAAATTTGCAAGTCCAGTTCATAAGCTATGTTAAAATTTAATTCAAATCATTAGAGAAAAAGATGAGGCTACTGGTTTTTATTCAAGCTGGACATCTTATCCATAAAACATTTGAGAAATATCATTGTTCAGAAAGCAATTAACATATGCAATACTCAAAATTAAAGGCATAAATCCTGAAAATTCATTTTCTTAAGTCCAGATACTTCTATGACCTACAGTATATGCCAGCTTTATAGTCATTACAAATTCAATTTACATGAGGAAGCTCTATCCCTGGAAACTATAAGCAACTTAAAAATAATTAAAGTTCAAAATCTACTTTGTATTTGAGAGCTCTTTATTTTTAATTTTAAAATTACTTTTAACATAATTTATGATTATATGGGATAAAACGGAAATAATTAAAAAGACAGAAGAGAAAAAGCAATTTAATATTTTATATACTTTAATGCTTAAGTTGTCAATCACTTCATATTTATAACAAAGGATTGTATCACTGAAAAAAAATTTTTAATTTTTTTTACTAAAACAAATTTAGAATAAACATTAAGAAAAAAGTGGTTACCTTTTGAGATCCTCTGGCCTCCCCCATCCTCTGATAAAAAGTTTTGTGAGGAGAAGTCTCCGGTATAGAATATCTAACTTGCTGACACCCATTAGTAACAAACAAACATCTATGAAACAAAATTTAAAATAACTTTAAAATATTTTATTTTAGGCACTAGGTCAATTTCCTAGCCATCTCTTTAAATATCAGGTAAAAATTACAGATTGATCTACTCTCCTTGGAACTTTGCAACTTTCAAACATACTATCCATTTATCTGTATTTATTTTATTTTAGAAAGAGTGTGCATGTGCGAGTGGGGGAGGGGCAGAGGGGTAAAGGGAGAGGGAGAGGGAGAGGAGAGAGAGAGAGAGAGAGAGAGGCAGGGGGAGGGAGAGAGAGAGACAGACAGACAGACAAAGAATCTTAATCTCTGTTCAGCACGGAGCCTGATGCTGGGCTCCATCCCACGACCCTGGGATCATGACCTCAGCCAAAATAAAGAGTCCAACGCTCAAGCAACTAAGCCACCCAGGTGCCACATATATATGCGTGTGTGTGTGTGTGTGTGTGTGTGTGTGTGTGTGTGTGTTTAATTTATTTATTTTGAGAGAGAGCAAGTGAGCATGAGCAGGGCCGGGGCAGAGGGAGGGAGACAGAGAATCCCAAGCAGGCTCCCTACTGTTAGTTCAGAGGCCGACGTGGGGCTCACATTCATAAACCGAACAGTGAGATCATGACCTTAGCCCAAACCAAGAGTTAGATGCCTACCCAACTGAGCCAGCAGGTGCCAATATACCATATATTTTTAACTATAGTTACCATAATGTACATTACACCCCCCAGAACTATTTATCTTACAGATCTTAAAAATATTCATTGCAAGAAAAAAATATGTAACTATATTTGGTGATGGATGTTAAACTTATTGTGATAATCATTTCACAATATATACGTAAGTCAAATCATTATGCTGTAAGTTTTAAATTAATACAATGTTACATATTAATTATATGTCAATAAAACTGGAGAAAAAATTTAAGATTGAGATTAAACTATGTACCTTAAATTTATTCTCTCGGATATAAGACGTGAAATATAGACAAAAGGAACTGGGATGAAAGTAGAGAAGATAAACTGTGTATTCTTTTAGGGTAAGGTCTTCCCATCTTCAGCACAGCAACTAACACTCAATATTTACTGGATAACAATAGCTGTAGCTATTACTTATGTAGTACTGTACAATCTGCCACGCATCATTTTGTAAAAATACAAACACATATACATACACATTCTTGTTTAAACCTCCCAACAACTTTATGAAGAAGGATCTATTATCCCAACTGAAGCACGGAGAAAATAGGTGATTTATCTAAGATCACAGAGCTAGTGGTAGGTAGAGCTAAAACTGAATCCCAGGCACACAGCAAGATCTAACTACTATTCTACATTGCCTGTCTACTAAACTATGATTCATGAAAACTTTGTACCACTTATTTAACTTTCCCAAATATTTCTAAAGTGTTTTTTTTAATTTTATTTTATTTTTAAATACCTGCCTGTCTTTTCAAACGGAATGGTGTAGTTTTGATTTGTGGGCAAAATGTGATTCATTTTCAGGGTTTATTCTACCTAGAAAAATGGAAAATAGAAATGTGCATTTCTATCAGTGAGCTTTAGTAAGTACTTATCTATTATTTTGAATGTTTTAATGGGACCACCACTTATGTTTTATACTTTTGCTCTTTGATTTGTAACAAAATACAAGTTTAACTTAATGTTCCTCTTTGTTTACATAGGTATACAACCCAAACTACCATTAAGTGGGCTGGTACTTTATTGTTTTTACGACTGGACCAGCAAAACCAAATCATTCATATTGCCTCTCACAATTCTTAGGACCAAGAACAAACAATTACTAGATAATATACTTGTTAAGCAATACAGTATAAAGACAGAGTACAGTATTTAGTATTTCTTAATACCACTTTCTTTTTGCCAATTTTCATGTGTTAATCAATTTTTATTCCTTTAATTTTTTTAAAAAAATTTTATCCACCTTTGAGAGAGAGACACACACACACAGAGTACAAGTAGGGGAGGAGCAGAGAGAGAGGGAGACACAGAATCCAAAGCAGGCTCCAGGCTCTGAGCTGTCAGTGCAGAGCCTGACATGGGGCTTGAACTCGCGAGCTGAGAGATCATAACCTGAGCTGAAGTCTGATGATTAACTGACTGAGACACCCAGGCGCCCCAATTAATTTTTAACCTTGATTAAAATTTGGTTTTGGCATAATAATGTTATGGAAAAGAAACCATAATGCATATCCAGCTTTGTTTATTATACTACTTGTATCTACCGCTATAAATAAATAAACGTATTCTGGTTACCAGAGTCCAGTAAATTATCATCATTCAGTTTCCCAAAAATGCAAGTTTCTGAACTTTTAAGAATATTACTTTTTTCATTTAAGCAACAAATATTAAGTGCTTACTATATGCTAAGCATTATTTTAGGTCCTGTGCTATAAGATGATCAAGGCACATTCTTCCTTTCACAGATCTTGTATTTTCATGTAGGAAAAATATTATTTTTTTTAAAAAGCAAAGAATAGATGATGACAACACTATAAAGATAATATAACAAGAGAGTGTGATAAAGAAGACTCCTTTGATTGTCCAAAAAAAGCCCCACTTAACCATAGAGGTAACATTTAAGCCAAGACCTACATAAGAAGAAGCAGCAGCCAAAACTTTAAACTGCAAATCTCATTAAAATTATGTACTCATGGACAGTGTTCCAATAAAATTTGTAAAAACTATCTAGTCAGTTGGTAAAGCACAGGAATAGATAATTTACGTAAGAGGAAAGGCAAAAGAAAATGATCACATGCCCTCTTCTTTGCTATTTCACAGATTCTCACTGTAACTTTTTTGTTTAAGTAGGCTTCATGCCCATCACTGAGCCCAATGTGGAGCTTGAACTCATGACCCTGAGATCAAGACCTGAGCGTGAGTCAGATGCTTAACTGACTGAGCCTCCCAGGCACTCACTAATTTTAACATTTTTAAATTCAAACAATGAGAAGGAGATACAGTAAAAAGAGGAAGAATAGTCTTGTTCCCATTACTTCCTTCTACTTTTCAGAGATACTTAGTGCTAACAGTTTGGAATTTGTTTTCCTTGATATTATTTACTTACCTACACAAACTCAAAACTTAGGAGGGGCTACTGGTTGGCTCAGTCAGTTAAATGTCCGACTTCAGCTCAGGTCATTATCTCCCAGTTCGTGAGTTTGAGCCATGGAAAGGGCTCTGTGCTGACAGCTCAGAGCCTGGAGTCTGTTTCAGATTCCTTGTCTCCCTCTTTCTCTGCCCCTCCCCCACTTGTACTTTGTGTCTGAGTCTCTCAAAAATAAACGTTAAAAAAAATTTTTTTAATTAAAAAACTTAGTTTTGGCAGGATTCAAACAACATAAAAATATATAGAGCAAAGCTGAGAAGTCTCTCTTTACTCCTGTGAAGCTTCCTCTCTTCCCAAATGGTGACCGTTGTTTTTAATGTTATATACCTGTGAGCCCTATCCATTTATACATGTACACATATTTTAGGAGTTTTTGGTTTGTTTGTTTTTTTTTTTT